GGCTACCTGTAATCTCCACTTTATTTTTTAGGGTGGTTGGACAGTGCTCCTCCTACTTTATTTCAGGGTTATTGCTTCCTTTATCCATCTGAGCAAAAAGTGGTCATTATCACGCAAGAATGCCCTAAAATAAACTATAGTGCAACCTCTTCCACTCTGTTCTCTTCTTCCACAAACAAAATACTTGTGATCATTGCGTCACAAAATATAAAGCTTGAAACACCGGACCACCGAAATTCAAAGCTAAATACGAGTTATTATTTTACGTCCCTTCCATATAAGAATCACCATTTTAGATCTTTTTTTTGGTTTGTTTTAGGAGGGTGTTTTATGCCCCACTGACACAATTTTGATAATCAAAGAGGCAGACTTTGACCCTGCATGTCAGGCTCAACCCAGGATACAAAATCCCAGCAGAAGGAAATACTGACCCAACCCTAAGCAGAGAGACCCACCACTGTATGGGGGCCAGGAGGATCTTGGGTAAACAGCAGCCTTCACACTAGAGTTTGGGACATGAGATGAACGAGAAGACGAAAGAAAGACATCATCCCAGCAGAAGGAAATATTGACCCAACCTTAAGCTGAGAGACCCATGACTCTATGACTGTATGGGGGCCTGGAGGATCTTGGGTAAACAGCAGCCTTCACACTAGAGTCTGGGACATGAGATGAACGAGAAGATGAAAGAAAGACATCATCCCAGCAGAAACACCACTCAATAAAAATCCTCCCTACAGAGGGTCTTCAGCCTGTGACTGTGAAGTGCCTAACTTCTACACCAGACGCAGGCATAGATCTGTTTCATTACTCCGAAGCATTGAGAAAAGTTTAATGAAACTCTGGTTTATATATTGCTTTGTACAGTAGCTATTAGTGAGGTCAAAAATTCGTGGCGCAACTTATTGTCAAATAGGCTATCTCCTCAACTATCAAAAAGTGACTTGTGTCAATTTGTCTTAACAGACCAATTTTTTTTTAACATCTGATAGCTCTATTCTAGAAAATTCCTTAATAAATACTAATAAAAAATCCCAGAGGGTGGTTTCTACTGATTTTAAAAGGTTTATAGCTGGGACAATATTATTTTTACTTTTAAAAGCAATTCTGTCATTTTTTTGTAATAGCGAGATTATCTTTATTGAACGCATGTTTTGAGAACTTTTAGTGCAAAAAAGTGTTCACTATAAAATTAATTTCTTGTCACTAGTTTTGCCATTAAAAAGTGTCATAGGTGATCTGTGATGTAAGCCATACATGCGTATATATATATATGCAAAATGTGAGTGAGAAGCAGGAAGTGCTGTCAACAATTCCATTTTCCGTGAGAAGGAGATTTGTAGTTTAATTTTATATAAATTAATGAAGAAAAGATTTTTAATCTAGCCTCTATTGTTGAGGGAAAAATATGATTAAGTTAAGACAAATTATCGATACAAACTGCTGTGCAAAGCATGGGTGGCAAAGATTCAACCGTTAAAAAGATACTATATATATGCACATAGGTTTCTTTAGACTTCCATGCACATAGGTTTCTTTAGACTTCCATCAGTCAAACACTATAAAAACAATACATGCACCATCTGAAGACAGTTTCTCACATCCATTCATGAAAAGGAAAACTCAAACAAAAATGAATGATGGAAAGAGGTATTTATTATAATAATTATAAATTATACATAGAGTTAAAATGCTTACAACAGAGACTTTCACAAAACTATGCAGTTAAGCCAAGGATGTATGCAAAAGTAGAAAAAATAAAAAATAAACAGGAAGAGAATCCTATTCTAAAATGTATTAAACTGGTTGACTTTTTTTTATTGCTAATCTTATCTACATAACTAATCAACTAATCCAGGAATAAAATATAATAAGTAGTTCACATAGTTTTCCTAATTCATTAGCTGAAGGGAAACCTCATGAAGTCTACCATATATCACAATGTAATTCCAAGGGAACTGATCACAAATGAAGAAACAAATGTTTTTACATGAAGAAGGGATCCAGATAGAGAGAACACTCTCGACATATCAAATTATCTGACAAGCCAGGTCTTATATCTTTCAATTCTTTCCTGTACGGCATCAACAGAATGTTACATGAACAGATACATCAGTTGTTGTTTTTTAAATGCTACTAAAAAGTCCAGTTCAGCCAATTACTTGACAATTTTCAATACAATTTTAGGATAAATTTCAACTTTAGTTTCCATTCACTCTGAGCTTATTTTGTTTCAGAGCTTAAAGTATGTATTTTACAATTACAATTTTCTTCCCTCCATTACTTTTCAATGAACTGTGCGAGATGTAAAAAATCGTGACAAAAAAAGTCTGCGTATGGAGAGAGATCATGCATAGCTTAGACTACGACAGCACATCAAGGTATGTGTAACCTAATCAAAATACAACAATATGTCTGATAGTGTTAAGCTTTCATCTTGTCCACACAAGGACCAACGACATCCTCATGATAACAGTATTGTTGTGCACATTCCTCTTACTAAAGTCGTGCAAATGAAACCATCTTCCAACTAACAAACCCAAAAAAAACACCAAACTATCCCAAAATTGTGGTTAGACCTCTCCAGGCCCGTGTCAGCAATACAAGAGAATAAGAGTGTAATATCGTGGAAGAAATCGCATAATATGCTAATTTGGAAGAAACAAAGAGGGTACAAAAATCGATAGCACGGGGATTAGCAAGGCACAACAACTTAGTAGCATTCTATTGCTGAAGTGAAAAAATACAAAAGGAAAGTGTAACACACACTTCGGATAACGTGGACACACTTTTTTCTAAACACATGAAAGGGTGTCTCAAGCTAAAAGCATCATAACCATCCCCTAAGTCATTAACACACTGCAGCTGAGATAGTGATCAAAAGACAACAAGAAAGTGGGTCATGAAGTACAGTTTAGTAAGTTCTTCAAGTGCCATCAGTTTAAGAACTAAGACAAAAACAAAAAAAAGGGGCAACTACAAAAAAAATAATGTTTAATTCAATATCAACGTTCACAAAACAACTTCACACAACACTGAAGCACCAAGTACTCGGAGGCGGACTTCGTCCTTTGCTGTCTGTGAGTACGATGCATCACCAGAAATTAAATTAACAAACAAAATAAAGTGATATGGTATACTCTTAAATCAATAGCTTTGTAATATCAGCCATACAAAAAAGGTGGCTATAACAGTAATATTCGGATCTATCCACTCAAAATAAATCCTAAAAACAATATATAAGTATGTACAAGTGTCACAAACTTAAATGGAGACAAGAATATGAATAATTTCATTATTAGAGCAAGACAAAGGTGATCCGCAGAAGACAGCAACATTCTTATGAACAAAAGCAATGACATTTCAATGAAAAGCAAACTTGGTTTGAAGAGCCACCTGTGTTTTTAGCATTTCAGCAAAAACCACAATCTCAAACAGTTCAGTTAAACAATGTTACTAGAATGGAAAATGTTCAAAGCTGAAACACCTATGACGAAATTGATGAACAAAACAGTATAATTAAAAGAGATGTATAATATTTTGTTTGCTGTTACGACTAGTAGTTCTGAACTTGCTATGCGTGGTTTATCATGATGAATGATTTGTGTTCGCAAAATGTAGAACAAGAAACAGTATACGGGGAACGGTCAGTTATGAAAAAGACACTAAAACACTAGGTCGAGGCAAGAGATTCATAAATTAGTCATATATTCTAGTTAAATTCCCGTTATATTTTCCAGTCATTTATCTTGCAAGAGATTAAATTTGCTGCTACAAAAAATTATCCATCTAAAGTCTCTCTAAACTCAAATTATTTTGAAAATTCTAAACTGGTTCCGTAATTTCTTTGAACAAGTCACTGAAAGATTTTGAGAAAATGAATAAACTGAATCAAATAAGATTTGTGAACAATTCAAAACTGCTTTAATATAAAAACAAATAACACCCACAGGGAGAGTGGGAGGAGGCGGAGGGTGACTAAATGACCTGCCAGATTGTCATGGCTATTGAGCTCCTGGAACCAGGCCGAAACTAAACAACCAGCCCTGGTCTCTTGAAGTTGTCTTAAGCATGTTCCTGATGAATCTTGAGAATCCTTGAATATACAGCCAGAATATGCAGGCATCTTAAGAGTACATAGTTGCTTGGATGAACTGAAAATGAAAAGAATGGAAAATGTACTTGTTTTGTAAATATTTCTCACTTGTATTCAACAGATGCAACAGCAAATAAAAGAAATTTATCTCAAAATTAAGAAATGAATCATTTCCCAGTCATACAATGTACATTAGTCAATGGAAGGAATAATAATTCAAAGCACACGCATTATGTTCAACAGTAGCAGTAAAAAGACAGGAACCATACCTAGTCGGAATTCACATTTAAGTCTGTGACCAACTTCAACAGGTAAAAGTGAAAGTGCTTTTGCATAGTCATATATGCCTCTGAAAAGCTCATGTTGCAATTTCCCTGTCGTTCTCTCCAGCAAGCAGCAATACACAGTATAACACGCATAGCTCGAATTCGTCACGACTGGCCTCGGTAGTTCGAGGGATATCTTACTAACATAGAGAAGAATAAAAAATAGGAACGCAGGCACAATCCAACGGATGCGTGATTTGGAGTCTTCTGTGTTCGACCTATCCGTTTTATACTGTATTATTATATGGGTGGTTGGCAGATTCTCTGATGAGCATTCTTTTCTATTAAATATCTATCATCCTTACCTGAACATATACAATTTTTTTTTTAAAAGAAGGGATACTGTTGTATCCTGTGTATGGGATCTGTTAATTTATAAGGTCAGCCTGTTCATCAAACTTACATACAAGTTAGAGAAAGCAACCATATACAAAGCCCTTAAACAAAAGAGTCAATTTTATGTTTGTCTTCATGAACAGTCCATCACAGTCCATAAAATTTTGATTTTGTAAAAAAATAACCATTCCATGAAGTGAAAAGCGTTGAGACGCTTTCTGACACACACAAGTCTAGCATCAATGCAAGATCCAACATTCTCACTGGTGATGCCAAGTAAGATGCTTGCAAGTGATTACAAGTCATTGCTTGTTAAATAGTGTAGACAGGTAATACTTAGCATATTTAATTACAGAATGTTTATGAGGAAGGCTTCTATAACCCCAGGACAGTCAGTAGCCTACATATACCGGTCAACAAAAAGTGTTACTCACACTGTCAATATCATACGGAGCAAAGCCAGAGTTCTCAGGGTCATGACCTCTGAAGGACGCTGAAAAATTCAAGATCAAAATTGAAATGTTACTTAAAACACTTTGTTTAAAAAGAAAAAACAATTACAAATATTATTATCATTGCCAAACAGGGAATTCAAATAAACCACTTCACAATGCACAAACACAAGATGTTTTATAGAAAGAGCATTAGGCTTCATGGTAAGAATGAAAAATAAAAAGGAAGGAAAGATCGAAAACAGACGATACATCAAAGTTAATATCTAAATCTGAGCGTAGATGATCATGAGAGCTATTCTGCTAAATGAGGGATGGCTCCTCCTGTAAGTGAGCAATAAAGTTTATTAATTATATATTATTCAACAACCCTCTGGGAGACAAATTGCATATGACAGGATAAGGGTTTGGAAAGGAAATGCAGAAAAAAACATTAACAGATTAATGCTGTACGCTTACTCAGCATAGTCTTGAGCCGGATTGCACACATAATGAAGTCACCAAAGTCAATCTGGCTCTCTTTGTTGCTGTAAAATAAATCGTAAAAAAAAATAAATACATTATTATCTAAAATGCATGCAAAATATAGCTTCACCATTAGAACGCCAGACACTTGCTTCAGCCAATGTATGAAAGTAACAGAAGTTATGTTAAGAACATTATACCAAGAACACTCTTAGGAAGATGTGGCACAAAGATCTGCAAATCATTCAGTACTTTACAATCATTAAGTAACAAATATCACTACTGGAAAACTAATTCAGTACAATAGAAAGCATAATTCCATACAATTTTGCCAATGCTACAATATACATTTCCTGACTTCTGTAAATAACGACCATAAAGGCCCTACATTATCTTAACTTCCATTTTAGAACCTTTAATAGGTGAGCACAAATCTATAAAATCTTGGAAAGTTTAGTGTACAAATATAAATCAGACTATCCTCCCATTTCAAAGGTATTTTTCCATTAATTATTCATATGAAACCTCTTGAGTTATTTACATACCTGTAGCGCATGACAAGAGACCTGAATGAGCGATTGCTGACACGGAAGCCTGCAGAAATAAACAACAAATGTTAAATCAACTGTTTATGTCAAAATATCTACAATACATCAGATATGTGAAGCAAAACTTAATTCTTAGTAATAGTAACTAATAGATCAGCTGTATTTAACACTTTGCAGTCACACAGCCAGCAGTACAAAACACTCCATCTGGTCACCCAGTCAGGAGAGTGACTGCAACGGACTTCTCGGGCCTGGCACAGACTGAAACGGATCATTTTCACCAGCGCATTATTGCGCCAAGTGACCGCAAAGTGTTAAACACAATCACGGGATTCCACCTTGAATACAAAAGTTTAATTTAACTCACTAGACTAGATTAACACATCCTTTCCCTTTATTTATGTATTTAATTTTGCTCCTTTTTGCCTCTATTTTCCACAGCACTTAGGTATTTGCAGTACAAATGTACAACAAGAGAACTAGTTGACTTTTGGGCAATCTGTTGTATTCTGACCATTTACATTCTACTTGAAGACTTAAAACATGGCCCACTTCCATATCCCTGACCAATTGGTCACATGTGCTAAACCCCGAATTTTAAACATTGTTTTGTAGTTGCAGTTTTCTATTCTGTGGTATCTGTCGCTTGTTCTTGAGAAATATTTTGTTGAATTTCAAATTCAAAATGTTGAAAACAGGAAGGAAAATACATTATATAGGTACAATTGTTTTAAACAGTACAGCATTTTTTCCCTCTCTGCTGAAAAATTGTCCTTTTTAGGCTTAGAACACTTGGTTATTGATCCCTAATTGTTCATACCAGTCAATGTTCTAACGGAGACTATTGTTGCTATCAATAAGGCTTGCCTGCATCAAATCACCACAAAGTATGTTAGATAATCAATTTTATGCAAGATACAGACCACAAACATGACCAAACATGATAAAAAAGTAAGCACAAATAAATATCAGCAGCATGTAGCATATGGCATCAGGTGTCTCGTGGTTAGGTTCCGGACTTGCAATCGTTCAGAGTTCGAAGCTCTGCTTAGCTTGATGTTCTGTCTTTGGGAAAGTCACTTTATATGAATTTTCTCATCTGACTCAGCCGTTCTATCAGAGATGGATATTAAATTCAGAAGTCCCACCTCTTAGATAACCCGACAGTCTTGCAAGGACTGCTATAACCTATACTATTTTGCACATTTTCCGCAGCTTGTAGCGTGCCTACAAGTTACACTTCTGCTCCCTTTCCATACACCAATTTCAGGATTACACATCACCCTTGATCACAAGACACAGAGCAACAGCTTCCGTAAGTGGGTGATTGGCAGGTGCCCTGGTATGGTTTGCTCCTCCATTCCTATCAAACATCTATTGTCTTTGTCTTTCCTTCTTTTTTCTGTTCATTACGCTCGTGCAACACCTCTAATCATCGGCACTTATATGACCTAATTGTACTGCTAGTGCCATAAAACTCTTATTAAAAACAAAAAGGCTTCTCTCCTGAAGACACCCGTGACTTGGTGTCAAAACTAGACAAATATGGCGGCAACAACTAGCAGTGTGTTCTTTTGGAGGTGTACGGAGTAACAAAGATTGCTAGCATGGAAACGAATATGATAACTCACCAACATGGTTCAGAGCATTCCTCAGCTCATAAGCGGACAAGCAGCCACTGGCATCCTTGTCAAACTCCTTGAACACACCCTGAAATTAAAGAAATTCAATACTGTACAGGAAAGAGAAATTTGAGTAGGACTGCAAAATCATTTCTGCCTGAGGGCAAAAAGTTACCGTATATCATGACGTTTGAGATGCATGCGCGGATTATACTCAGGTAGACTTGAGAGACAGAATTTTGGAATAATATACCGTATGTTCATAATTATATGGGACATAATTTTCAGTAAGCTTTAGTAATTACAAACGTGACAATAATAAGAACATCAACAACAGCAACGATTTCAACACTAAATCTTTGATAATGATAATGCTGACTATAATAATAAAAATAATAATAATAATAATAATAATAATAATAGTCAAATAAAAATAATAATAATTGATGTTCATGATGATGATAATGATAATATTATTATTACTATTATCATTATTAAAATTATTATTATTAAGATTAGGCTCAATTATTATTATCATTTTCACTATTATTATTATTATTACTATAATTATTATTATTATTATTATTATTATTATTATTATTATTATTATTATTATTATTAACAGCACCATCATTTCAACATTAATCATAATATAACAATGGTGGTGATGTTGATGATAAAGTTAAAAAGGCAAGGAGAACTATGATGAAAATGAGTCCTGGCTGACAGTTGAAAAAAAGTCAGTACAAATTCCAGCAGCAATAAACAGCCCATCATTACCTTCCATCTCCTCAGGTCCTCCCACAACTCCTTGAACTCTTCGTATCCCAGTTTGCCAGACAAGTCACCCTGGCTACAGTTAAAGGCTCCTAACAAAACTGTCGAGTTTGGTCGATTGAACATCAGCCCATGACAACTCTTTTGGACAATGACAGTGATGACGCTGATGGCGAAAAGGACGATGACAATGACAACAACGATGATGATGATGATGATGATGTGATTGTGTCAATAAAGATGATGATGATGATGATGATGATGATGATAATGATGATGATGATGAGGAGGAGGAGGAGGAGGAGAAGGAGGAGGAGGAGGCGGAGGATAACTAAGTGAAAGTAAAAATACAAACACCGCACAAATGGTCTCAGAAAAAGGATACATCGTGCATGGCCACCATACTTCTGCAGGTGTCAATGCCAAAACCTGGGAAGCTGAACTCTGAAAAATAACAAAGAAATAAAGTCATTAGAAGCCTGTACAAGGCTACAAATACAGCTACTCTCGAACATTCCCAATGTAAAGCAATAGTCACCCTGATCAACAATAAAACAATGTGATGCATATTTCGGTGGGGGGTGGGGGGGTTCTTTTTTTGCATTTTTTTAAACTGTAAAACCAATGTCCCATAAATTTGATAATCCCTTCCGCGAAAAAATTTGAGACTTTGTTGTCAAGAAACATTTGAAAAAAAATTTCTAATTATCATTTAAATCCTTATTAATTCACGAACAATACCTGCTAAATGGATTCACCACATTGTGTTTCTTTCATACACTCTCAAAACTGAATCAATGAACATGACTACAATTTTTATCAAAGTTCTGTCACTAGATATGTCCAAAAAATATTTGAACATAATAACACTCTAAATCTCTCTGAAAGCCACGTTAGTCTACCATAAAATTTAAAAAAGATCAACAAGTTACTTAAACTGTATTTTTATCCTTAACATTCGATAAACCACATCTAATTGTGTTAATCTTCATTATTTCATGTTCAGAGCAGCCTAAACCTATGGCTGTATGACCATGGCTGGCTTGCATTACATTTTTAGCTATCTTTCAAACTAAAATACTAAATGCTAGCTGTCCATGACATTATCATATGGCTGCCTTGATGCAAATAAAGGCACTCAGCTAGACCATAACAGCAGCTACCCAAGCGGCAGAAGGAGCTCAGTCCTGGCACAGACTTCATAGCATAACGACATTCAAAACTAAAGCTGAAACTGAATTATATCTGCCTTCTTGTGAGCTCTACGTCGAAACATTCAAAAGTAAAGTGATGAATCGGCAAATGAAAGAGACAGGAGTGAAGCGGAAATGATGAAGGAAGAAGGGAACAGGGTGCAACACAATGAAGACACACATCAAAGTAGGCTCATGTCTCTTTGAATAAATGTTTACTTTAAGCAGACACACAACAGAATATGTACGAGTCTTTTCACTTTCAAAGAAGATTATTCCTCCTTACACTTTCCCTCTCTCAGCCCTTCTCGCTCTCCCTCTCTTTGTGTCTCTTATAACTTATTGTGAGACTTCATGTTTTTTATATTTATGTTATCTCTTTTTGTACTGGTAGGTGTCAGTCTGTCTATATATATATATATGCGAGTTCGTATCAACTTGTCCATGAGTCTGTCTGTCTCACCCTCTCTGTCTTTCTTCTCCATAAGAAAAAAGACAAACAAACATAAGGAAAAACTGCAGAAAAGATCATTAGAATAAAAAATCTCCACACAGAAGAGGGAAACTTGACACAACAGAGTGACCTTCGAGTACAATCTGGCCAAAGACAAAAAGACCATCATGAGACACAGACAATTCAGAAACACACTTCAACCAGATGTACAGTCAACAATCAGATTGACAGACAGAAATGAATAATATATAAACACAACAAACAGTCAATAACATGGGTGTTACTGAAAGAAATGGAGATATGGCACAAATAGAGCACACACAAAATTTAAGTCACATAAAGATGAAAAATGGGGGGGAGGGGGGGGAGCCAGACAGACACTAACAACAGAGTGCGAGGAAAGAGGTAAGACCCTCCAAAGAAGTAGAAAGAGCAGAATACATCACAGCACCCACCAACCACCCACTAATTTTTAACTACAGAAGATATCAGTAATACATGGTGCAGCAGTATGTCTACAGACTAACATATTATGCAGTACCAAGGTCTCCATTCGTCTGAACACGATCCATAAATAAACCATAATAATTATCCAGCATCCATCAATCATTTGCTGAATGCAATGCGAGCATTTTAAGCAGCAGCAATCTGTTACGAAGTCTCAGCATTGTCCAATGCGACAAATTCTCCATAACAAAATAAAATAAATCTCTACGAGAAAAAAAAAATATGAATAAAGGTAAAGAATTAAATTGATAAAAAAAAGGCAATCCAAAATTTCATAAGTCAGAGTCATCAAAACCGACAAAATGCATTTTCTAAAATCTTTTTGCATCATGCTTACATATTATTTGAGTAATGAATATGGCCTTGTGTGTTAGCTCAGAAAATAGTATGATAGCTCTTTGACCGACGGATGAAAGCATTTTATATTGCCTGTAACATTTACAAATGGCATCCAGTTGGCACAAAATAAAAAAGGCCCCCCCTGAAGAGAGTGTACACAATCTCGTGATTGCTCAGGGAAATAAATTTTCAAGACCATGGTGTGATTGATCGTAGCACGAGAAGACGCAGCATTCAAAGTAACCAAGAACAAAAATAGACCCTCGTGTGTCCAAATAGAAAGAGGTAATATTCACATTGCATGCAGATTAGAAGAAACCCTTCATATATTTGATTGACCTGAAAATAAAATGTGTTAGTGCGATTAGGAGATGTCTTGTATACTGAAGTCTCCACTTGCCAGGCTTACTTGAATAACACATTGGAAGCACAGCAAGCAGAAGTCAGACGAGAAGGGAGAAGATTCTGAAGTGAGGGGTGAGGGATAGTACACTCAGGGAAGGCAACAAACTTGCTGACGACAATGTGTGAAGAAAAACAAATTAAGATAGGACACACTGCACTGCGGGGACGTAATAAAGATTGCCGACAACAATGTTCGAAGGAAAACAATTTACGCAGGACACTGCACTGCAGGTGCTTAACAAAGACTGCTGAAATTAAAACCTTATATAGAGAACAACTAATTTGATGCAAAGATACAAAAGAGGTGAACAGAAGGAACAGGAAGCTTTGACTAAGCAGATCAAAGCTGGGCGCTTAAATTTCAATGACTATCAGAGACAAAGCCACTGATGTGTATATAACCGTAATGACTGGAAAGCGACATATTCTGAGAACACTACAGAAACAGATACTAGGAGAATTAAACCGTAACAGTTCAAGGTGACTGC